TCGGCGTTCAACGTTTCTCGGTTTCAGTTTATATGGAACCCAATTTCTTTGCTTTTGAATCATTCCCAACGATTTTAAACAATGTGAAATTGCTTGTTGAGTCACTCCTAATGTAAGTGCAAGTTCTTCTTGCGTTTGGCACGAATCTTCCTTCAATAATGCTTTCAATTCCACGTTTTCGTACACTTTCAGCCTTCTACTACGTTCTTTGTCTTTGACGTCAAACTCACCGTTCTTAAACTTTTGAAACTACTCACGACAACTTCTCTTACTTAAAGCAGCCTCACCATATGCTTCTACAAGCAATCGATGCGCCTCAGCTGCAGATTTCTTCAAATTTCTTCAAGTAAATCAAAAGTTCCCGCAAATGACGCTTATTCGGCTCAAAACTCGACATTTTCGCACGAAAAAAATTATGTAATGCTGATACAAAATCGCTAATATTTCAAGGTTATGGTGTTGCCAGATGTCCAACCTTACGATATGACGTTTTACATCTGACAATTTCAACCATAACTTACTGGTGGGGCCATCTTTTGTCAAACGGCGGAGACTTATTTGTACTCCCAATATAAAAACAAGTAATACTCAGTTTTGCATGTCAGTACGCTATCTTGTGAAGGACGAAATTCCTGGTATCTATTATACCGAAATTGCCTTTCATGACTTTCCCTCGTATTTTTTGACTATCGTTGACGTGAATAGAGCATCTTTTTAGTTTAGTACTGCGCATGAGAGTATTCCGTCAAAACCGTTTATGAAATAAAACATACAACAAATTTTTATTTTTAATAAATAAAATTTTATGAGTACTATTTTTGATATCTTTTTTATGATCCGTATGATTTTTTAAATAATTTTTTATGAAATAACCTATATAGCACAATGACATTCTTTGGAAATCCAGAAAACATCCGGGACAGACTTTGCAGATATCCTGTGGACATCCAAATTGTATCCTGAGATATATATTCTGGATGTCCGACCTTTACGGAAAACTACTATTGGAACTTAATACTAACAAGGAGATGCCACAACCTGCTAAATCGATTTCTGGACGAGACATAGCATTTTCGTTAGCTGCGATGTCAAGCATCAACACCCTAATTGGGATTTGTGCCAATGGGTCTTTGTTTATAAGAAATTACAATATAAAGTTTAGATTGTGAGACGGATATGGCTAAAAATGCGACTGTCTTTTAGTGAGGTGGCGTGATCGAGCAGACAGAGGCTCCCAAGTCGAAAATTTTTGAGCCGGCAGCGAGCATTCGAAACCCGGCGACGAGTTATCCTTGTGCGGTGTTTTTTTTTTTCTTAGGGCATGTAATTAATGTTTTTCGAATATGATACATTTGTTTTGCATATGTCTCGTTTTTATCTATTAATCAGAGGTAATTAGAGAAATGTCAGGCTTGTTTAACGCAAACACGAATATAAACACGTATTTTGCATTGCTTACAATGCAATATATATTTTAGTACATATTAAAACGTTATTGATGCTGATGATAAATAATAAGAAAGTGATTGTATGCATATAGCATCACCTCGAATGTCCAAATGTACACTTTCATCGCCTGTAAATAAATCAAGATAGTTGTATATTCTCGTGATCATATTTTTAACCTGCTTATAAAAGTAAACATTCTACGAGAAGTAGATTGCTGTACATTTCAACGATATTATTTTCAAGTTATATGTTTACTTATATTTCTCGGCGCGGAATATCTTGTTGTATGTTTAATTGTATGTTTGTTCTCTTCTCTCAACAAGAACTAAAAACTTATTAAATACAATAGAAAACATGATGTTTTAATATGTACTAAAATATATATTGCATTGTAAGCAATGCAAAATACGTGTCTATATTCGTATTTGCGTTAAACAAGCCTGACACTTCTCTAATTACCTCTGATTAATAGATAAAAACGAGACATATGCAAAACAAATGTATCATATTCGAAAAACATTAATTACATACCCTAAGAAAAAAAAACCACCGCACAAGGATAACTCGTCGCCGGGTTTCGAACGCTCGCTGCCGGCTCAAAAATTTTCGACGTGGGAGCCTCAGTCTTCTCGGCCACGCCACCTCGCTGAAAGACAGTCGCATTTTTAGCCATATCCGTGATACAGTCTCGCAATCAAAATTTTATATTGTAATTTCTCATAAACAAAGGCTCATTGGCACAAATCCCAATTAGGGTGTTGATGCTTAACATCGCAACTAGCGAACGTGCTATGTTTCATTCAGAAATTGATTTAGCAGGTTGTGGCATTTTCTTGTAAGTATTCAAGTTGTAATGTTTAGTATTCAGGTTGTAATACTGAGTATTCAGAGTTAGTATTAATCAATACTGAAGTATTGAGTGAGTTAAGTATGATGAATACTGAGTATTGGGAGTTAGTAATGGTCAATACTTAAATATTGATGTAGTTAAATATTGATAAAGACTGAGTATTGCGAGTTAGGTATTGGTATTGGTTAATACTTAATTATTGATTATACTAAACAATAATTATAAAACCTTTAAAAACATTTGAAAAAACATTTTTAAAATGTTAAAAATAATGGGGTAAGTTATCTTTTTTCATTAAAAAAACGTTTTTTAACGTTTGGAAGAATGTTTTGTTTTTTAAATATTTTATAAACATTTATTTTAACATTTAAAAAACGTTTTCCTAAATGTTAACCTAAATGTTAACATTTAATATTTAAAAAATATTTTCTAAATGTTAAAGTAAATGTTTATTAAATATTATAAAACAAACATTTTTTTAAACGTTAAAAACGTTTTTTTAATTAAAAAAGAGAATTTATTTCATTATTTTTAACTTTTTAAAAATGTTTTTTTAAATGTTTTTTTAAATTGTAATGTTTTGTAATGTCACCACTTAGGTAAACATATTTTATATAAGTATTTCATGCATATATTTCTGACTTCTTTTTTATTATATGAAATATTTGGACTAAATAGTTAATTTTTGTAGTTATACTAAATAATGTTACTAAATAAGAAAATTATAATTACTACTTCGGCTGCATATGGGGATAAAAAAAAACAGTATCAGTTGGAGAAATAGCGCAGCAGCCAAGATGATAGACTAGACCTGAAGTTAGCTGAGGTCTCGAGTTCGCGTCCGACTAGAACTGAGTAAATTTTCAGATGTGAAAATAGTGAGAAATTATATAAATGAGCTACATTTTATTTAAAATCAATATTATATGTGCTGTGAAGGATAGTATATTTTAACAATTTTTCACATATATACTTTTAGGATTCATCAATACTAAGTACTAATTTCCCCAAAAAGATATTGACCAATTTAGTATTAACCAATACTAAGTATTGCGCACTCAATATTATTTTTCAGTATTCATGAATACTTAATATTCATCAATACTAAGTATTGCCCAAAAAAGTATTGACCAATTTAGTACTAACTAATACTAAGTATTGCGCGTTCAATAATTTTTTTCCGTAAGGGAAATCATCTTCTTACCTAATCTTAGATGAATTTATGGAATCTGTAAATTTTGTGTTGCTTACTAATGATATCGTACGAGTCCGACGAGTTCGTCGCTTGTCTTCGACAGTTATTCTCGCTCCGGCGATCATCTCACATCCCGGCTGGAGAAGAACTAAAAAAAATTTCGGATTTTCATATTATTTTCATCTAGATGTTCTTGACCTAGTAAACGCTAGATATTCCTCGAATATTTATAAAATGTTCCTAAAATCCAAAATTAACATTCTAAGAATATCCCAAAATATTCCGGAATATTCATAGAATGTACAAGGAATATTCAAATAAGCGCAAAAAGTTCCACCTTTTTACAAATATTGGCGAATTAATTGAAATAATAAACCAGTCAGCGTTTGCTAACTTTATTTGAAATTTAAGATCACTTGATTCCAAATGTTATATCACACTTAAAAATTCTCACTAACACTGGGATTCGAACGTGGACCTGAGACACCTTTCGATTATGAGCCTATTGCTTTAGAACCTATACTACTTCTTCGATAGATATAAACGTCTTATATTTAATCTATATATGTTGCAATTAACGCAATAATATAACTTTTTTATATGATTTAATTTTAATAAAAATGATATTTTTCGTACTTTTATTGTTAATTTAAATCTTAACTAGTGAGGTCTACGAAACATCGCACATTCCATTTTGGTCTTAAAATTTTTATAGTAAAATTTTTTTATTGCTGTTATTAAATAGACAAAGTCATAAGAGATTATAAAATTCGAATAATTATAAAAAGCACAATTAAAAAAAGAGAAAAAAATCTTACCATATAAAATTTAATTTAATTTAATTTTTATATAAATATATAAATAAATGGTTATTATAAGAGGTATCTGTCTAATGTAACCATATCATATAATAGATGAAATTAACTAATAATAATAATTTCTCACAAATTCTTAGAATATCTTAAATAATGATTTGCAAAATATTCATTATAATAAATTTCTAAGGAAAACTTTAGAATAAATTAAGCTCGGGTAATTCTTTGGATATTCATATTTTTAATTCTTTAGATGTTCTTTAAAATTCTCTATGAACTTCTATTTATCTCTGTGCTATTTGAGTTGAATATTCCTTATCATACAAACAGTGTTCATAGAATATTCTGAATATTCCACAATAATTTGAACATTTATGAACATTTCTTTAATATTCCGGTATATACGGAACTTCTGGAATGCACACGGAATATTTCAGGAATATCTAACGTTTACTGGGTGAAGTCATCAAACACTATTTATTAGGGTTAAAAATATCTTTATGATAGAAGTAATATATTTATGGAAATATTTCGTCTTATTTTGTAATTACGATTCTTTTTTAATTTTACGTAATTTCTTTTAGTTATTATTTCTTTTACATTTTCTTTAGTTTTTATTTCTTTTACATATTACACACATGCACACACATATTGATTTACATAAGCAAAGCTTACAATTGCATAAATTTAGTGAGGTATGGAAGAGGATGACGAAGAAGTCTCGCTCACATGCACGCAGCGACGAAAAAGCAGTATTCCAGGATTGAGCATATATCAGTCAGTGCAAAATAGTTTAAATCAAGGATCAGAACAAACATTGTATGAAAGTGTCCGCAATACTTTATATGAGGACGTTATAAGTATGAACAGTATGCATAGTGCTGTTTCTTTGGAAAATATTCGTCAGATATATACAGATGACTTATCTACTATAAATAATGACACAGATGAAACGATTATAGATGGAAGCTATACAGATGTAAAAAATAGCATGCACAATTCAAGATTGGTAAGAATTATTCATTTTATATATTTTACAATATATATTATTACTAAATACATAATACTGATAGCATAATTTTCACAGTGATATTTATATTCAGGATATAGGTATTTAACTGTTACATTATCATAATGTAATATAATATAATACGTATGTAATAGATTATATACACGTTAGTACCCAGTAAGCAATCTGTACGCAGACTGACATCAGATTGGCGACAGAATCTGTCGAATTCGAGCAGGATCTGTCGACATAGACATCTGTGTTCCCAATCTGTCGTCAGATTGCTGACAGAGTCTACTAACAGACTCTGACATCAGATTTGTGGCAGATTGCGCGCAGAGCCTGCCGACAGACTTTGATGGTAGATTAGTGGCAGATTGCGCGCATATTCTGTCGTTTCGTAGGTTCTTCAATTAAATTTTTGGTAGAAAATTTTCTCATAATTTTTCATAATTATTTATAGAATGAGTGCTTTCTCATAAATATTCATAAATACTTGTAAAATATAATGAGGAAATATGAGTTTTTCTATATTATTTTTTCATAATTTAAAAAATTTTTCTGATGAGATTCGAACTTAAATCGAAGACATCTTTTGGATAATCGTCCGTCGCCTTAGACATTATGCCAATTCCTCACTTGATAAAAAGTGTTTTATATTGCCCACTTAAGTTTAAGAAAGAAACATCTTAAAGTTTTTTCGCCTTTTAAACCGCAAATATAGACGAAACCGTTCAGCGTATAAATAATGTAAGAGAGAGCGGCACGATAATTCAAAGTTAATTTTCTACCATGGACTGTACAGAAAATCACTGCAATAAAACAGCAGATATTGCCATTTTTCCATCATGCTAATAAAATAGTTTGCTTTTACATATATTTACGAATTAATTCGATCGTCCAGTTCAGATTGTATGAAATTTTATCAAAATCGAAGCATGATATATTTTCAAATAAACCATTACAAAAATTCTGTAAAAGTTATTTACATGGCGGGACTAATATTTTATTCGGTGCTGCTGCTTTCAGTACTTATTGCATGACGGTTAAATCGTTTAGACGTAATTACATAATGACATTAAAAAAAAAATAATAATATGAGAAATTGTATGAAAAATTATGAGAACAATTTTTACCAGGAATGGCATATGTACGCCTTTAAATGGTCATTTAAACTGGCCATTTAACCGTTGTACTATTCTATACCTGTATTCGTTATTTCTCTATTATTGTTGCTTTTTTATAAAAAATGTATAATACAATTTTAAAAAAGTAAACATTGTTTTTTATTGTGCATATGTGTACAATTATTGCACAATATAATTATCTTGACTCCTCTCAAAGTTTTACATGGTGTGCATATGAAACTACCTCATTTAATAGCATTTAAACTACCTCATTTATATATGGCCCTTGATAAAATTAAATAGCATATCTACGAAACAGAATCTGCGCGCAATCTGCCACCAGTCTGTCATCAGAGTCTGTCGGCAGGCTCTGCGCGAAGTCTGTCATCAATCTGTCGTCAGAGACTGATAAAACGGTTTTTGTGTGCAATCTGTTGCCATTCTGTCAACAGACACTGTTCACAGATTCTGCGCAAAATCTGCTCGCGCAGGTTTGGCTATCTATTGGTAGTAATTATATTCATATAAATTACATTTATGTAGTGTATATATAATTCTTAAATAACATGCTGTATAACGGTTATACAGAGTGTCTTATAGCTTACCTCGAGAGATTTTCAAAACACGATAATAACGTATCTTTTCATTAAGTATTTTTGAGTAATAAAACTTGAAAGTTACAATATCGCCGGTATTATCCAAGGTGTACCACGCGGAGTGCTGCTCGGTCGGATTTACACATCACTGAAAAAAATGATCTTGCAGTCATAGCGAAAACTATCTAGATATGAAAAATTATCTAAAATGGATAAGCAAATGGACTAGCAAGAACTGCGATATCGTATATGTTTTGTATCTAACCAGCATAGGTAGCAGAGACAGAATTTATATCAGAACCATTTGTCAAATTTAGCAATAAGTTTCTCTATGGCGCTCAACCAAATTATAGCTAGTTATACTTCTTCTAAAAGTGACTGTGGTAGACAGAATATACTAGCAATGAGGAATACAAACAAATGTATAATCTTTACACCCAGCGTTGTTTATGTAATCCGCCCAATCTTTCTAACTGCGTTAACAAATTTTCTGCGTTCAACTGTCGTACAAGTTTGTGCCGGTATAGCGCTCAGTACACTGAGAGAGAAATGTGAAGTATTTAAAAAGAAATGTTTGCTTGTAATATTTTCTTCCATATTTATTGATTATAAAAAAATTTGATTGTAATAACGAAATATATATTTCTGTAAAATATATTAACTGATTGTGAGAAATAAATTATTTAACTCTTGTTGGAAAAATTAATTTACTTCAGGCAAATGTATATTTGTTTGTAGCAATGATATTTAGTTATAACAAGATTAATATTTATAGCCAAGTAGTATTTATTTGCAGAAATCAAATTTATTTTTTAGAAATAAATCTTATTTGTATGGATCCGAAGTTAATTCCGGTTGTTCTACTTATTTCTTTATGTGTTATTCGTACATCGGAGAACACTGATTCGCATTACATTATGTAATATGGCGAAATAGTGGCGATACATTGTCCTTTCGTGATAACGGTGACAGTGATTTTATTGTTTATTGAAATGTCACTTGAAAATTTGGACAACAAAATGAAACATATTGTGGAAGTATTACATTTAGAGCGTAAACATTTATATAAATAAAATATTTATAAAAATAATTAATTTATAAAATTAATAATTAAATATAATTATTTTATAAATATAATTAAATATAGTTATTTTATAAATATAATTTATAAAATTAATTTATAAAAATATTTATAATAAAGATAAATATTTATAATATTATAAATAATATTATTAGGACCTTGAATAAGTTCTTGCTGATTTTTCGTGAAAATTAATGCTTTATTTAAAAAAAGTCGTAAAAAACATGTCACTGAAAGTATTGTCCATCGCTAGCCACTACTTTTTCCCATCTTTCTGGCAGCATTTGAATTCCACGTCGGAAAAACGACATGTCTTTTGAGGTTATCCAAGAGTCGACCCATTTTTTGGCATCTTCATAAGAATGGAAGTGCTGCTCAGCCAGGCCATGTGCATCGATCGGAACAAGTGATAATCGGAAGGGGCAATGTCTGGTGAATACGGCGGGTGGAGTAGGACTTCCCATTTAAGCGTTTCCAAGTAGGTTTTCACCGGTTGTGCAATATGTGGCCGAGCGTTGTCATGTTGCAAAATCACTTTATCGTGTCTCTGCTCGTATAGCGGCCGTTTTTCTTTCAATGCTCGGCTCAAACGCATCAATTGTAGTCGATAGCGATCATAATAAACTACACCCAGCTGATCCCACTAAATGCAGAGCAGAAGCTTCGAACCATGGATATTCGGCTTTGCCGACGATGTTGATGCATGGCCGGGTTTACCCCACGATCTTCTACGCTTAGGGTTATCGTAGTGTATCCACTTTTCATCGCCAGTCACGATGCAAAAAACCTTTTCTGCTACTGAAGCAGCTGTTCACACGTGAAAAGATGCCGTTCGACGTCTCTTGGTTTCAACTCGTACGGCACCCAATGTCCTTGCTTTTGAATCATTCCTAGTACTTTCAAACGTTTCAAAACTGTTGTGTGATCAACTCCTAATGATTCTGCAAGTTCAGTTAGCGTCTGACATAAGTTTTCATGAAGTAATGTCTCCAATTCTTCCTCTTCAAATTTTTTCGATGCGCCAGAGCGTTCTTTATCTTCAACATCAAAATTCATTATTTTTGAAGCGTCTAAACCAATCTCTGCATGTTGTTTCCAACAGAGCATGGTCGCCGTAAGTCTCAACAAGAATTCTGTGTGCTTCAGCTGCAGATTTTTTTTTAATAAAGTAGTGCAGTAAAATTTTCTGCAAATACTCTTTTCTTTGGCACGAAACTCGACATGTTTAACATTATGAAAAAAAAGTTATTTACACTTCGGCGAAATGATATACCCTGAATTTCAAGCTTGCTTATAGTACTTCCTTATAGATGCGTTACGATCTTAAACTACACGCACGCAGTTCTGGTAACGCCATTTGTTGGAAAACAGCGAGAACTTATTCAAGGTCCTGATATAAGAAAATTATAATTATTGCTTCGGCTACACATATGAGAACAATAAGAAACATTTAGTATCAGTTGAAGAAGTAGCACAGCAGCTAAAGTGATAGACTAGAAATCTGGAGGTATCTGAAGTTCACGTCCGATCAGTATTGAGTAAATTTTCAGATGTAAAAATAGTGAGAAATTAAACAGGAGAGCTAAATTTCGTTTAAAATCAAATAAATCAGATTTATTTCCGTAAAATAAGCCTTACATTCTACAAGTAAATTTTCAAGTCTTTTTTTCTCAGTGTACTGTCTCAGTGCTACAGCGATATACTTTAACTCCTTTTTTACTTTATTCCTCACACAGATCGTTTTAGCGATTCTCATTTTCATCAAATGCAGCAATTCATATTTAGTTACGAGGCCTAAATTTTCCTGCACATATTGCTGTTAAAATTTTTACGTACCATAGACAATTTTCTAGCAGATACAAAAAATACCGATACATTTTGACTGTAACATTTAGAACTTTAGCTGGAGCGCAAAGCATTGTTTTAAGTGCATCTTTCGTGTGTGTATGTGCATGTGTGTGTGTGTATGTATGTATGTATGTATGTATGTATGTATGTATGTATGTATGTATGTAGTGTGTGTGTGTATGTGTGTGCGCGCGTGTATGTCATATTAGAAATACCAAAGATTGGCATATTGTCAGAAAGTCAATGGGAATCACTTTCAGCATTTACTTTAATATTCTGAAACACTCATGCGGAGCACACGGTTTTGAATAATTAAAGAGAAGGAGAGTGATGATTCTTAGTTCTTATCTTAGTTTCATAACTTAACATCACAAATACTCATACAACTACCTAGACCCACTTACGTACACGCACACACACATAACAGAGAGTTATTAAATATTATGAAAGTAATGAACTATGGGTTCCTTATTTCTGATGTAACATACATGCACGCGCGTACACAACACACACACACACACACACACACACATATACGAAAGAAATATAAATCCGATTAAGCAACCTTTTCGTGGTACACCTTGAGTGCTAATGTCGGCGGTACTGTAACTTTTTTGTTTTATTACTCAAAAAGTACTTAATGAAAAAGTACGTTATTATAGTGTTTTGGAAAGCTGTCAAGATAAGCTACATGAATACCGATGAAAAATTTTTCATACATAATTATATATAAAATTTGTCCATACATTATATATAATTATATATAATTATATGTAATTATATATAATTATACATAATTCTGTATAATTATATGTATAATTACATATTATTGTATGCGTAATTAAAATTATATATGAAATTATATACAAGGTGTTTCACTTTAAGTAATATAGTCGATTATCTCGCAAATCGATGATTTTATTGAAAAAATTTTCCAACGAAAGTTGCATAGCTTGAAGGAGGACACATGATGAAAATGTGGACTTGACCTTGAGTAACCTTATAAAAATCGGGTCAAGGTAATTATTGTTTTTTAAACGGAAACTCCTATTTTTTATTACATATTCTTGTAGCTTGTCGCGAGAGCTTTCCAAAACGTTATAATAAAGCTACGTTTTATTGAGTACTTTCCGAGTTATGGAACTTGAAATTTACAGTACCGCCGGCATTATCCATGTACGCATGCGCGTGTGAGCGGGATTTTTACGCGCGCGCGTCTCCGCGATCTATCCGCACTGCTTGACAAACGCTTACGCGCACGGAATTGAGTCCAATCCTTCCCAATTGAACTATTCAACTTTCCTCTTTTTTTCGTAGCTTTTCTTTTTATTTTTATAGCTTTTTCTTTTTCTTTTTTTTACCTAAGTGGGCTTTTTCAAAGCTTTTTCCAAAATGGCCGCTTTCAGTTCAAGTGAAATCGTTGATATTATTCTTGCGTTTGGTGAAGCTGGACGAAATTATTGTAGAGTATTGTTTAGTACGGAGCATGCCTGCCCATGCGGAGCGTATACGGCGGGTGGCCGGGCCCCAGGCGCCGCTTAACTCGCAGTCGCCGGCCTCCCGCCGCCAGTGCGCGCCGACGCGGCGACGACGTCAGCCGGAGCCGTTACTCGCGGTTAAATCTCGCTTAGGCACCTATATAAGGCGTCGCGCGAGACCACTCGAGGCCTTTCGCCTTTTGCCAGCCTTTTGACTGCGTTAGCGCATTTGGTCACTGCCTTGCTGAGGTATTATTTTGATTTCTAGCTTAGCTTCATATCGCCTTCTTGAGTGCGCAAGCACGTTAGGCACTTGCCTCGCCCGAGGTATACGTGTGCAGATATGCATTGATCATCGCTGTCTTCAGAGTATCATAGACACGTTGGCATTCGGGTTTAGATCTTCGCACCCCTTTAGAGTGCGCTTGCACGTTGGGATATTGCCTTTAGAGTGTCCGAGGACACATTGGCATCTGTGTTACGAAGTGTATGGTAACTCCACGGATCTCCACCTTCTCAATACGATCGAGGATTGAGAGAAGGCTCTGCGTGACCACTTCGGATTACCTTGACGTTTCCACCGCGGTGGATGTCTCTCTTCGCGACATCCCCGTATCAAGCGACACGGTAGTGTCGCGAAGTCAAGTGCAAGCGCGAAACGGCCGTGTATACTAACGCCGCGACACTAGTTGAATACACACCAGATTTCTTGTTTGACCATAACGGTTGAACCGATGAGATTCTAGATAGGCTCAATCGATTCCTTGGGTTTATGTTAGTTAATAAAACTGTCTTTACTTTTGCTTTACGTTTTCTAGAACCTGAGATATTTTAGCTCAAAGTCCGAAATCGCTAAGTTTTATGATTAAGAAATTCGTCGTCTGAGAAAATGTCCAGGTTGACGTATTTGTCGCTACGGCTCAGATTAGGTGTTCGGAAACTCGGTATGAGTTATAGTCTGTTCTTTGTAGCTGCGCTGCTGAACTGGTGCAATAAGTTAGAGCGAGACAAAATATACTTTCACTCTAGTTCTCACTCTAACTTATTGAACCAGTTCATTGTT